AATACTTTTGATACATTGAATATGTAATATAAAAAAATTAAACTTTACGGCTATAAAATAAAAAACTTATTTTTTAAAGGACAAAGTGAAATTCGCCCAAAAGAATTTCAATAATCCATGGCTCAGTGGACTTGTTACAAGCTATTAGTTACTCGAATATCTAAAAGTACTGTTTTTTATACTCAATTTTTTAGTAATAAAAATAAAAGATAATTTAAATAACTACATTTTGTATCACCAATGAGGACTCCAATCTCAAGGTTACATCTGACCTTTCTTCTGTTGGAAGGGACATCTTCTCAATTCATTGTGGATTCAAATGCTTACTAGTTAGATTCATGCAAGTGATTGTCTCTTTGCTGTACAGAATTAGGAGAGCACCTTTTAATTTATGCTTTTGTATCTAATTGTCTTGTCTTATGTACAAAGATTCTCATTTATTACGAGAAATAGAATGATTATTGACTAACGACATTATCTCTATTTTTAGAGATATTAATTCCAGAACTTGAACTCGAACTAGAATTTGAATAAAAAAAAGCAAAAGATTTTGGTGTTTATTTGTTGGATACCTTACTTGCACATGGTGGTGGTTGTGGCAGCCACTTTAGTGTACCACAAGCTCCCATAAAATGTGTTAAGGTAAGGCTTTAATAAGACTGTTATGTAAACCAAAGCTACCGACCAAGCAGTGGATTCATGCTTGTGGTCCCTCTGCCGACTGAACATGGCATTATAAAATAGACTCAATTGTTAATTGTGTCGGGTGAAGCTGGTTTGTGTCAGGTGTTCAAGAATTCGTATAAAAAAAATAATTCATTTATATCTGATTTGTTTATTAATTCTTGTCGAACGAGTCGTATCATATCGGATTCATGTCGTGTATGAATAATATATAACTAATATATAAACAAGTCGTGTTGTGTTTTTTTTTATTGACTTCATACATACACGATTCATTTGTTAATTGTTCTGTGTCGGGTCCATTTATTTACAAAACAGATTACTTAAAAAAAAACTCAAATTTCTTTAATTTTATATTGTGTTCGAATTGTGTCATGTTTTGCTATTCCTAATTTTGAACATGCACAAAAACCCCAGGGAAAGTGAATGATAAAACATTGCCTTTCCTCTAAAACCTTCACCATAACGCATTTGTTTAACCTTTTTAATATTTTTCAAATTTTGAATTTCATAAAAGATGTCACAATTGCATTATGTATGACTTGCTGACAACTATAGTAATCTTAGTTCATACAAGAGCCGCAAGTTCTAAATGACATTAAGCAATCGTTTGGTAACGATTTGTTTATGTTTTTTGTTGTGATCGTGCAACAATTATGGTGAGTAGTAAGAAATCAAACAATTAAGAAAGCAGGAAAAAATAACACACAGAGATTTACGTGGTTCGGCAATGTGCCTACATCCACGAGAGCGAGCGTCCGTTCTTTTTCATTATTCAAAGTAGGGTTACATCTTAAGTATTTATATAACCCTAATACGGACGTATTTACAAAAATATCCCTGTACTGTACCGGGGGGGCGTTGCTCCCGCACCCCCAACTAATCAGCGTCCCTTTTATATAAATCCCGCAAGGCAGATACCGTCGCGGGCTCCACTCCGCTCCGGCATCTGCCTCCTTGCCATTATTATACACACAGCAAATATGAGTTACATATACTCTAACATTTTTTTTATTTTTGTTTTCACTATTCACAAAGAAAAAAATGATAACATGTTAGGAGAGTGTTTTTATTTTTTGGATTGATCTGTTTTGTAAACAATCATAAATTTTAAAAACATGAAAATAGGTGTTTTTAAAACACGCAAAAACGCAAACACTCGCACCCCTTGGAATCAATTCATGAGGTCTAGCCTTCGAACCTCATTAATAGCAAAAAAATGGTTTTTTTTATTCCAACTATAAGAGCATTATTTATCCTTTTTACCTCTTCTCTCTCTCTCTCTCTCTCGCGCGCGCGCGTTCATCGCTCTCGATGCTAGCGACGAAGGAGCTCTCAGATCTCACAAGCCAACACTCTATCTCCGTCAATATCTCTTTCAAGGTCAGATTTCACTCTTTCTCTTTGTAACTCCTCTCTATGGAATCAAATTTTTAAATTTGGATTTGTTATATACATAGTATATACAAAGATTGTATATATGTGTATATTTAGCCCTAGATATATGAATATGCTGTTATATTTGGTTAGATTTGGGTGTGAATGTGTGTGTGTTTTTGTCTCTGTGTGTGTGTGTAGAACTGAAATTTCATCTTCACTATGTGTGTGTGTGTATATTTATAGATCTATCTATCAAATTTTTCTTGTTAACAGAGAATTGTGTTTTCGTGTGTGTGTTTGTGTATATATATATATATATATATATATATGCATATCTTCATAAATATATTAATCAAAATTTTCTTGTTATTCGATAGATCTACATATATGACAGTGTGAGAGACATGGGTGCAGTGAAGAAACTATTGAAGTAAATGGGAATTGAATAGACACGGTAAGAGGTAGAGGAAGGAGGTGTTTTTGTGGATCAGATTGTTGTAACAAGACAAATTGTCTAATGAATTCAATAGAGATTTTGTGAAGCCGAAGACGAATTTGTGTTTAAATATTAACCAAAATAACATAAACAAAATATTATCCAAAATATATAATATCAAACATATTTTTTGGTTTTGCTTGTATAATTTTTTAAATATAAATGATTACCAAACATGTTTTATATTTTTAATTTGTATTATAAAAAACAAAAACTAATTTTTTTTAAAAAAAATAATATAAAAATAAAAACGTTACCAAACACACAAAATTAAGATGATTCTCCATTTAAAAATGAACTATGTTGAATTATATTGTAACTATTTGGTGATACGTGAGATGTGCCATGAGTTCACACTAGGGAAAGTCAAGGGTAGGGATGTTAGTGGACCGAAACGGGGGCAGGAAGTGTAATCTTCATTCCCGTACCTGCTTAAAAAAATTTCGTTCATCCCCGGTCTACCCTCGTTAACGGGTATAGTTTTCATCCCCATTCTCGTACGTGGATAAATTTCTAATCCCCGTCCCCGCTTCCCCGTACCCGCCCAAGCCTAAGCCTAAGTCCAAGCCCAAGTAATATAATCCAAAATTTTAAATAAATTCAATATTTTAAATAATCCAACAACATTCTAAATAATCTAACATAATCTAACACAGCATAATATAGATTGCAAAATATAAAAGGCAAAACAATAAAATATTCTATTTAAAGTGTCATTAGACTATAAAAAGAGAAACGGAACTATTACAGAAAAAGGAAGAAAATGAACATAAAATTAAACTAAGAAAATGATAACACTACACTTCAAGTTTCCTAGAAGAATTTTTGTTATTACAATTCATATTACAGCCTTAAAGTGTCAAAAAATGAAAAATCAAAATTTCGCTAATTCAATAATTCTCTTCATTTCTTAGTTCACTCTAGCAGAGAAACTCATCAACCTCCATTAACAATATTTCTACTCACAATGAAATGCAAAACTATCTTACTCTCTCTTATTTGATTTTATAGCATGGTCAATCCAAACTTCTAATAATTTCAATCAGTGAGCACAAATAGAAAAAAAGAACAATTAAAGAAAAAAGTTGATAAGATTGCCACATAACAATGTCACTTGTTAGTTTGATTATCATATGTAATTACAGTAAATATGTTTAGTTAAGACTTGAGAGTATATATATATATAAAACGGGTAGCGGGGGCGGGGAGGGGCAGGACAGGGGTAAAGTAAGTTCATTCTCGTCTTTATTCTCGTACGGATTTATACGGATATCCTCGTATACGTCTACCGTTCAATACATATAGTTCATCTCCCGTCTAAACGAATTAAATTTGAACGAATACTCATTTTTTTTTTATCCACTGTCATCCCTAATCGAGGGTCATTGCCCATCGCTGCTCAAGTGTACGGAATTATAAAACCAAAAATCATGCGATAAAGTGTGGTACTATATATAATAAATGGTCAATGTTGACTTCTCAAATGTAGTGGATCAAACAACCATGAATCATGTGATGAAGGTGTTCACTCACATCTACAAGAACTTTGGATTGCGACCTGGCGGCTCAACTCTAATCCTATCAAAGCCCACCGAATATTATTGTTGAAGGGGAAAGGCTTCAGTACCGGAAAAAAAAAAATTCCGTCCCGCAATATCGCTTATTATTTTTATGGTAAAATTATAATTTTAAAAGAAAAAAATTACAACTATTCTATAGAATTATAATCAATCACAGATACATAGATTTGATCATAGACTTCCTTTAAACAATTATAACTTCTCTCTTTTTAAGTTGTAACTTGACATTTTAAAAATTATAACTTAACCTTTGTATCAATCCCGATCTATCATGATCGATAATGACGTTTAAAGATTGCAACTTACATCTCAAAAAAATTATAATTTAACCTTAAAAAATTATAAATTTCGGTATGGTACCTCCTTCGGTACCGTAGCCTTACCCTGTTGAAGATTGAATTTTGGTCCATCTCAAATCATACACGTTATAACTTGAAACTTGATCGAGTTCTGATTTACTATGATCAATTTAGTTTTAAATTTTAGTCCACCTCAAGTCATACATAATCAAGTCAGATACAATAATTTGGGATACATAATCTCTCTCCCTCTCTCTCTCTCTCTCTCTCTCTCTCATTCATTATGGAGTATGGAGTGAATTTTGGATCCCGATTTCTTTAAATATTTTTTCTCTCAATAACTCTTATTGGTAGATCACTTGCCATGTATGTATTAATAAAAGAATCACTCATATAAAATTAGTTCCACTTTAATTTATGATTGATAAAAAATGAAGTGAAGTTGAGAAAAAATATAATCAAGAGATTACACTCCGGGCCCTCAATAAAATGCATGCTATTAAAGCCCAATAAGGAATTTTACAACCTAGAAATACTCCATTGAAGTAAGGATTGCTGGTTTTACACCACTATTACAGAGTTCAAACGATTTTGTGTTACTTCTGCTCGGAAATCAACTCTAGAAGGTGGCATTGGCACAAGTAAAACCTCCTTGACATTACTTATAAATCCATTGTCATATGGGTTTCTAGAGCCCACATAGCGTTGCTGAAAATTTTCATAAGCTGTCTGCATAAGAAAAAAACATAGGAAAATGAGAAGATCATGAAGAAATAATTAACAAAGAAAGCACAAGGAAGCAATTCCTTTTTCTTTTCTTTTTTCGGCAGTGACAAGGAGGTAATGACAATGAGAACAAGAGTGTTATTTAATTTCTTCTATTTTGTTTTTTGTTATTTTTTGGGTTAAGGAGAGAGGAAGACGATGAGGTTCAAACTCGCGACATTAAAATTCAACAAGGGCAATAGCTAACCGCTAACTTTAAGTGCTATTTAACTTCTCATCTATTATACCACCAAAATACCATATCATTATCTTTTATTTTTTAACCTATTTGCGCAAATAAAAACTAAAATTAATTGTAAAATATAGAAATGGTTCATCAACTATGCATTTTGTATCACTTTGATCTTCATCCTTTAAACTTTTCACTTTAGTCCCTCACATTTCTTAGTTGAATCAATTTCGGACGGTCAAAAAAAACGGTTTAATGATAAAAGATGCACTTGGTCAATTTCGCTAGTTTTTTTAAAACAATGTTTTTAATTGAACCAAACTAATACAAATTGAGAACTTTAAGTAGTACAGTAGGAAAATTAAGGAAATGATAACTAGAACAACAAAAAGAACATGCTTAAGAACCATTACTCGATTTTATGTTTTATTAATATAGATAGTGAAAATGAATATATCTACGTTAGGCGAACCTGATTTATAGCAATTAGATGGCCATGGTAACAAGCGAGGCCACCAACAAACCCAACAGCAGCAAGACTAAATGATGCCAACGCCACTGCTTCGGGACAGTTCCTTAGCATGGCAAACAACCCAGTAGTGCCACTTCGTGACGTTATTAGGTGGAATCTCCAGCAGGAACAAGCAAATACATAGGCAAAGAACACCAAGGTCGTGACTAGAAATGCCAAGTAAAATCTATAATTCCGCTGCACATGTGAACATCTTCGTTAGTGTTTGCACGAGGTCACAAATAAAAATTTATATCCACCCAAGTTCAAGATGAAGATTACAAAGAAATTTTCCTCTGAAACAAAAGCTGTGGGGTCCCCTTTGGCATTGCTTGTGCCGACTGGCAGGCACAAGCCACCAGCCTCTCTCTAGTTCAAGCAAGGCCATATGAGGACACCTTTCACTTTTCTAGCGCTGACCGGCAGGCACAAGCCACCAAGGCATTGCCGACAGGCAAAAGTGCCGAACGGCAGCCCCTCTGCTTGCCAAGGGGCACTCTGCGAACGATTCTCCAGTTTACCCGCTTCCATTGGACGCTTCATACTCAGCTAAGGGTTAACCTGGGGATTAGAGTCCTAACAAAACACTGCTTCCAGTATGAAGGGACTACTGATAAGATCAATAACGCCTATTGGTAGGCATATCCCATCTTACAACCTAATATTGGGTATCATAGTATGATTCTATTTCGAATGTTTAGGTCTATTCTATCGTAACCTAAAGTTTAAAGTCTTTTAGGATTCAACTTTCTATTACCATAAATAAAGGCTTTGGATACTAGGTAAGACATTCAATTCTAATATATTCAATGCTTACTTTTCTTTGACTTGCGATTTGACTTAATCATATCAACAAGTTATTCAAGGTTTGTCCTCTCCGTTCGTACGGAAGCAAAAGAACGAATATAAATTTCAATACTCCAAATTCTCTTCTTTCCTAGTAAAATTAAATTTTATAACCTGAACAAGGTGAGACTTTTAAATAACCATTAATCGTCTATTAGGGTCAAATTTCAAAAATGGGTTCTGGATTATGCCGGTAGGCCCAGTCCTCTGCTCTATGGACTAAAACTCAACAACAAATTTCAGTTAGAATCCAACAAATTTTAAGTCAAGAGTAGATACAATTGAGGGGAAAATACAAGACATCCGCGACAATTTATTGCTTTTGTGTACGTAACAAGGGGTTGTAAGGTTGAGATATTGCGTACCAGACCAATGCATTGACCGATCCACGGGCAGTGGTGATCGAATTTCTCGACGCAATTGTCACAGACAGCACAATGGCAGCTCCTAGGTGAACGGTAAATGTTACAAATTCGACAATACTTCAATTTTACTTCTACCCCATTGACAGTTACCTTCCTCTTTTTGGTTCTACCGTTGCTACCAAATTCATGAGATGATTGATCATTTCTGGGAATAATTCCGGGATCGATCATACTAACCAAGATCAAGTTGACAAGAACCTGCATTAAGAGCTCTCAGAAATTAAGTTGGGTAAGCAAAGGGGTTTTAGATATTGTTAATTTTTGTAATAACATTCAGAAAATAAGTTATTAGAACAGTGACCTCGGGGTATAAATCAATATATAATAATTTTTGGAAGAGAATACTTTCACGAACAGAAGTATTATGTAACTAACTCTCTCACATCTCGAAAGGCTAGGATGCATTTTTTTTTACCATCTATATCTGTGTAATTTAAGGTAACTTGGGAGAATATTGTCACCTATTTTTACGAAGAAACCTTAAAAATGGAAGAAAGTGCAGAAGAAGAACCAACAACGCATTTTTTGTTTCCATATTATATTGCATAAGAAAAACAAAACAAAAAAAGGCATACGAAAACAATATGAGAAATACATGCAAGTATAAAAACAGCAAAGTTTTAGTGTAAGCACTCACAAATATGGTTAAAATTAAAGAAAAACTGATTATGAGTCCAGAATGATTTGCGAAATCATTGGCAACATAAATAGTGAATATCCAACTTGAAAGACTAATAGAAACAGCAGTCAAGAGTAATCCTCTTGGATCTGGGCCACAGATTAATCGTCCTTCGAAGAAAAACACCTGCATTGAAAACAAACAAGTTCAAATTTCATTTATATGAAAATCCATGTTCATCGATATTTTAAATTTCTGTTATTACATGAAGCGATTCAAATTGCTAATTAATCGTCATGGATTAGAAGTTTAGAACCCGTCGTTCATTATCTAATGGATTCTTCTGTTCTAATACTCCAATTTTTTTATGAAATGACAAAGTGGGTAAGGAAGGAGAACATTGTTTCCGGGCCAAACATGATAAGCTCTAGTTCTCTCGGATTCCCCACCGCAACAATATCGTTTCCACTGATGCTCAACAACCCATTTGATCACAAAAACGTTTTCAAGCAAAGTAACCACAATTCTCTTGCCCTTCTCAAGAACATTGGTTTCAACTCCCTCCTTTAAGTCGATTTTCGTCGGTGTTTCCGCAGATTCAAGCTCAGGTGCGTCGGAAAGGGGAATGGATTCCAAAACTTCTGTATCAATTTCGTTCACATTGGTTTCTGAATCCATATTTGATCTGCAGTGAATTTTACTTTCTCTTCTTGTGTTTGGTGAAGATGAAAGGAAAACGAAGACACTAATATGTAAAAAACTTTTGAAAAACTGAAAAAACGGTTACTTGTGCCTTAGTCTCAGGCCTATAGGGTCCTGGCCCAGGCTCAAGATAAGCAACCTTTTAGTGGAAGGCATAAGAGCCCGTCTTATAGCACAAAGTAGGCCCACTAAAGTTTGCCAGGCAAGTAGCATTATACATAGTTTGACTTAAGTCTATCAAAATATGACATGATACGATTAATTAATACGAATTAACATAAAGTAAAATGGATTTGAATGAGGTTTTAATGAGTGGAGGTCGTACACCGGTGGAACAATGTTAGACCCGCTTACTAAACGAGGTGGTGTTCGGATGAAATATGTCAACTTGTTTTATCACTTATTTAAATAAAATACAAAATTATTAAGTATTCAATTTTTTTACTCAGAATAATATATGCATTTTAATAATTAGATTAGTTAAAAAAAATTTAATAATTATTTTTTTATTAAACGAGTAAAACAAGTAATGTTGAATAATCTACATAATAAATGAATCATGTTCGATTTTGTAGGTTTTCACCAATTTAATTAAACGAATAGGGTATAGGATAGTTTTGTATACGAATTCGATTAGATCGGACAAAATTAAATAACAAACATATAGGAAAAAGAAAGGAATTTAATCACAGATTGTAGTGGGGTAAACGGTGGTAATGGTAGTGGGCAGCAACGGTGGTGGTGGGTGGTGATGACCGTGGTGGTAATTATAGATGTGGGTAGCAACGGTGATGTTGGTGGTAAATTTTGGGTAATAAATGGTGGCAGTGGGTGGTGACGATGGTAGTGGTGGGCGATAATGAGTGCTTTGGACAACAATATGATGGGTGATAGCGAATGGCAGAGGTGGCGATGGTGATGGTGGTAAGTGTGGTGGGGGGGTGGGTTGTAGTGGGTGGTGATAGTGGCGGGGCGATGAGAGTGGTAATTGTAGTTATGGTGAGGATGGATGACAATGACTAGCGGTGATGGTGGGCGATGACAGGTGGCAATAGGTGGTGCCTGACAGTGAGCAATAGTAGTAGTGGGATAATAGTGGTAGTGATAATAAATATAAAAATGAAATAATGATAGTGATGGATGCTAGTGGTGGACGACTGTGGTATCAATCGATAGTGAATAATGATAGTGGTGGTGGTGACGATGGTGGTGATGGTAATTATGTGGTGGTGGCGACGACGATGGTGGTTGTTGTAGTGACAGAGGTGGTGGTGGGGGTAACAGTGGTGATGAGAGTGGTGGTGAGGTGATGGTGGCGGTGGTTGTGTGTGGCAGAGGTGATTGGGGGGGGGGGGGAGCGGTGGTGGTGGTGACAAAGGCAATGATGGGGTAGTGGGCGGTGGCTATGATGATGGTGGTGTGGGTGTTGGTGGGGCGGGTGGGCGTGGTAGTGCTGTCGTGATTCCAAACACTATTTTTTTTTTCAAATACTAATAAGAAATTATAAATGATAGAAGTACTTTTAAAAAATCACCTAAAATACACCTTTAAAGTCATAATTTTCACATTAAATTTGGGTGTTAATATTAACCGTCATATCAAGTTTCAAATATAATTTAAAAAAAATAGCAACCGAAAAAAAAAAGTCATTTTTTTTTTTAAATTTGAATTGTATTATACATTATTATATAGATTTTTTATATTATTTGGTATTTAAAAATTGATTAAACATAAATTGGAAAAAGTAAATATACATAAATTTTGCAAATAAAGAAAAACTAAAAAAAAAGTTAATTATAAAAGATTACTAGTTTTTGGACCACATTATAAGCATTTAATTAAATTGAGAGTGTAATACGAAACTTTAATAAATCTTTTGAGGTATAAAGTGTAATTCGCACTATATTTTTGATAAAAAGGTGACGAGCCCAAAAAAATCCTGATATAATATCCTCCCGCGCCTCAGACCCCATTTTCAAACACCCATTTTTCCTCTGTCCTCACCTCTTCCCTCCATTGTCTTCCCGCCTCCGTCCTCTTCCTTAAAGCCGGCCCTAAAATCCCCAAACTCCACTCTCTCTCTCTCTCTCTCTCTCTCTCTCTAACCCACACTTTGCCCTTGCAACCCCGTCGTCCGCCATGAACCGCCGTGTCAGAAGGTCATCATCGAAGGCCAACTCAAGCTATCTCCGGTACCTGAAACCAGGCGCTCTGGCTCAACTCCGAGACTCACGAATCAGTGCTAGAACTCACCGAATTGACCCAAAAGCTCAGATTTTACTTTACCGTACGCCTTCACCTTTGCCCTCTCCTGTACGGTCCGCAAACTCTGTTCAAACACAGATCGACGGCGTGCCTTGCTTTTCCGGGAGGGTCTATGGCCTACGATGCCCACAGAGGAAAAGGGTCGTGGCGGCCAAGGCTGTGTTCTTTCTGAGCTCTGCTCCTTCAAGTCCGGTCTCGGACTCGCCTGATCCGATTATCGATTTGTTCAGCACTGACATTCTTGTGGCTCATTGAATGAACTGGTTCAACCCGTGATAAGACTTTGTTTCTTACTCATTTGTAGATTAATTTCATTACAGTGATGGAAATGTTCTGGTTCATTCAATGGATTGTGCAAAAAAAAAAATCATGTTACTTAGGGTTCAATTTCATATAATAAAACCAGTAACTTTTCTTTATAAATAAATTACTTTAGTAGTCTTCTGATTAATTATTCTGTTTGGTTTCATTTTCTATTAAGTTACTGTTTAATAGCTTCGTGATGGGTGATTTATGAACTACTGTGTTTGAACTGGAGCTATAAATTCACTGTTTATGAGCTCATTTAGATTTGACTAAATGATACCCAAATCCAGGATCTTAAGACTTGCGTTCCACAAATGCATTTGACAATTTGTCTGCGACTGATTTGGAATTCTGCATTTTAAGTTTGAGAATCTGATGATTTAGACCCTGCACTTATGTTGCATCTCTAGTTCATTATTGTCATTAATCACCTACGTCCAATTCAATTATCGTGTGGCTAGTGCCAGTAAGGAAATTGGCTTTTTGCTTGGGAACTTTCACTAAATTGTGTGTATTGGGTATTAACCATGAAGTAGTATTAGATTGTACATAGATATAATATAGTTTCTTTGGTGTTAGTTTTATGTTTACTTCATCCGTTGAATTATAGTGCATGTTTTCGTACATCATATCCAATTGGATCAGGGGACTTTGATTAAATATTATGGCACTAACAGGAAATCTGTTTATTGCATTTTAACTATTCTGATATTTTGCATATACTTTGACTAGTTAAAAGGGGTGTTTTCTTTCTTGAGGAAGAGAAGCCTTGATAGGGAGAATAGTGATATAATGTTATTGAGTTTGTTTAGGTTTCATGCCTTATTATCATTGTAATCGAGTGTTAAGAACCTTTTGGGGTTGCTTCTGTTAGTGTTCTCAAGAAGCTAAACCAATTCATTGTTATTCTTATTGAATGGTTAATTGGTTTTTCGTGTTTTTTTTTCTGTGGCTTGAGGTAAGCTGAGAAGGGGAAAGTAACCAATTTCAACTGATAGAATCACAGAATAGCTCAAGGTCCAAAGGCTAAACTTTGACTCCTCTTCAAAGGGGTCAAGCTCTTGAAGCAGTGATGGAGCCTTAAGAACACTTCGCCATTCTGCAACAGTGTAGATGTGGTACAGATAGTACATTTTGAACTTGATCAGCCTTTGGTGTGCATATGATGATTTTGTAACTTTTCTTGATAAAAACTTGGTGCTCCTGAAACCCAAGTTAGTGGATTTAGATTTATTTTCTTAGTTTCACTGTTTCTGAAGGGTCGAACAATGTTTGATGATGCCCGGCAAGTGATATAAACTGTTAAACTAGAAAATGTGATAGGGTAACGTTAATTGTGATATACTGCCTAGATCATTGCACATTATTCCTCAATTGCTGAACATAATGGGTTTTTTTGTCAAGTTTATAGTTTCAAGATGATTTGGGTTTTTTTTATTTATTTATTGGGGGATAGTGATTTAGTTTTATTTTTTGGCTCCTCATCTGGCTGGTTACTATGAAATACTGTTGGAACTAAAGTTGTCAAATAATGGTTTCTTTCATTATACAGAATGCCTCCTTTGAGAAGTAACTTTTTCCTGAAATCTTTGCTCAACGAACTTAAATTGAGTTCATTGTAATCCAAGGCTTTGTTACTCATGGCTGACTGTCTTCCAATTCCTACATTCCCATTTCTTAATGACACACATTTAAGCTATTTGTGACGCTTTATGAAGCAATAGAAATTGATGTTCCTCGTATCCACCAAGTCACAGAACATATTCTTGATGTACATTCATTTGTTCATTTGTCAAGTAATTACATTTTTTAGAAAATCTCTTGAGATGACATATCCTCCATGTTGATATACCAGCAGCTTACATTAATTTGAAGGAGGTGGTCCGTTTGGATCCGTGTTGAGCTAAATTACTAGTCGGAGTCAACCATTCCCTTGGATGGCATGTGCAGAAGTTGAGGTTCATTTATTGGTAGTAAGAGTTGTTACTTTTAATGCTCATCTTCTTCATTGTAAGTTACCAAGTTATACCATTAATTGGTATTTATTGCAATTTATGCATATGAAATGACTGCAGAGTAGAACATCTTCATATTGAGTAGAATTGCAAGTTATTTGTAGGATGAGTTTATAGGTGAAGTAGATTTAGCTTTTCTTGCAAATTAGTATGAGTGACTCCTAATAGTCTACTCATGTCTGTATAGGCAAGTTTTTTAAAAGCACGAATTTTCCAAATGCTACTCCCTTGATGCTTCAGTTGGTTGGAAGACATGGGGAGGGAAAATCTTTATTGGAGGTAGACATTCTCTGGTCTGGAGAGCTGGCACATAATTTTAGATTTTGGTGGTGAAAAGCAATGCTCTGTAGCTGATTTAATGATAATAAAGTTCAGGTGCTTGGAAGGAAGTGGCGTCCCACAAATGGTCCTCGGATTAGAGGCCGAAACAAGTTACATTGAAGATAAACAAGTTTGCTGCCAACTAAAGATGGATATTTTGTTGTGATTATTCACCTATTTGTTATCAATGAGGGATCTGAAAGCTAGAGGTGTTGCAGCTGGTAATGCCATTTGCAGAGCAATGTACTGAGTGGTTCTGTTCATGAGTGACATGATCTGGTGTAATAGTAATGATGGTGAGTTGGGCTGTGCGAGCTTGTGTTTGTGTGTGTGAGAGAGAGTTGAGAGATGGAAGGAGAGATGTACATGCCCATGGATATCTCTGTCAGTATGTGTCTTTGTGTAGGATCTGGGAAGTAAGCATTTATTTTAACTCGTTAGTAGCGACTTCAACAAGAAGGGTTATATCTCGAAGAGGTATAAAAATGCATTTTGTTATTTCTAATGATGTGAATTTATGAGAATTTACTAAGCCTATGATTGAAATTTTTCGTTTAATCTCCCCTTAACTAAGGTGGGGGTGAGGTGAGAGGCACGACGGAAAGAAGAATAGCTACTGTAAATAACTTCTTTACCTGATAGTGAGCAGTAGAACCCATTAGAGGCGGATCTAACCTTAACATTGCTTGAAACAAGTTAATGTGATGTGTGGTTTAAGTAGCCTCACCAAGCAAAAAACTAAATAAATAGAGAGAGAGAGAGAGAGAGAGTACTTAGTAATAGTATTAACATGACCATAAATGGTCCTCTGGGATGCTGTCTAAAACTGGTTTCCAACCATTTATTCTAGCTTGAGAGATTCTTCTGCTTCTTAACTTTATTGCACCTAACAATTGCTCCACGGAAGTATACTTAGACTCATTGTTCAAAATATGACGCAACTGAGTTTGTGTCACCACAAGTCTAATCCTCACAACCCCACCTTTGGTATTACTGTAACTTTTTCGATCATCAGCATCTCCTTCGTGTAGTCTGAACCTTACTGTCTTTTTCTTTCCGCCATCAATCGGTGGTGCTGATCCTAATAAGGTCGATGAAGTCGCTGATCCCTTCAGTTCCATCACTTCTGCTGTCTTTTGAGGCTCTTCTTTTTCATGTTGTGCTAGAATTTTTCCACTCATCATGCAATTCCCCATTGTAGTGTTGCAAACATGAAAGCAACAAAAGTATACTCAGAGAGAGAGAGAGAGAGAGAGAGAGAGGGAGAGAGGTGGGCAAATGAAAGCTGAAACAATATAAAGGGAAGGGTGGAGTAAGCACGAGTTGCCAGCTATTGCACCGACTATTTTGTTCAAGATAATGAATTAATGAAAAGATGCGTTTGTTTGAGAGCAGGACCAACACTCACACAGTATGCATTTGATGCCATTATGTTTTTTTTGTTTTTAACGGTCAGAGGTGTTTAGATTAATTTATGTGTATTTCGATTAATTTCCTTCTTGATCCAGCTAAAGACAAAATATTCTCGCCGGAATTAAGATATTCATGTGAGATAAATCTATTATAGCCGACTCGAAAGAATTGTCAAAATTTGAACTCAGAATTTTTGAGTTAACAACTCGCTCCTATTACCATACCTGTTGGGGTTATTATGGTTTTTTTTTTTTTTGGGTAAGGCAGAAGCATCCCAACCACGAGTTGCTTAAACTCTGGATTATCTGTTAATCCCTAATATACACAATTACCTGAAAACTCTGCGAATGAGTTAAACTTGAGTTATATGTGACCAAATGAACTCAAATTTAGGACACACTGACTTACTTTTTACCCAATTTTTGTTTAATGCTGACACATATTTTAGATAGCTAAAGCTGTTTGTTAGAGCCTCACAAAACCTGGTCCCCCACAAGAATTAAGTTATGCCCAAGGCAGTTGAAAGATGATTGAAGCAATCTTGTATCTAGAGATCGAATATTTCAGTGATTTGATTCTTATGTTATGTTTGGTACAATAAAAAAGTGGGAGGATAGAAAGTTGGAAAGATAAATAAAATATTATATTTTGTAAGGAAGAAAATTAGGAAGGATGGAAAAGTGGATTAATTAACTTTCCTTTCAATTTACCAAAATCAATCCCTCCAAAATTGGAAGTAAAGTGGATGAAAAATTAATTATTTGTGTTGAAATATGTCTTCTTTGTCTATATATATATATATATATATATATATATATATATATATATATATATATATATTATTTCATATAAAAATACAATAGTAATATATATTAAAAAATTTTAAAATAAATTTAAAAATAAAATAAATAAATAAAAATAAAAATTTTAAATAAATAAAAAATATTTTTTCCATTTGAACTAAGGGTGAAAATTTTCGACTCAATACGATAACACGACTCGAACTCGATACGAAAATAAACATGTCAATTCGCAACTTGACACGACACAATTAGTTAAATGAGTTAAGTTAGGTTTGATTAATATTCGACACAAACCCGTAATAACTCAACATGAATTTGACACAACACGACTCAATTATTATCCCTAATCTTAGCCAGCACAAAAAAAAAAATAGTTATTTTTATTTTCCATCCATCCAACCAAACACAAAAGAAAGAAAGTGTATATTTCCTACTTTCCATCCTTGAAGGATATAAAGTGTATCCCTCCTACTTTTCATCTTCTCTATCAAAGGGAGCATAGTGATCAATCCAAAAAATTTTCAACTTAATTAGTGCACTATCAAACAAGGCTTAATTGGACTGGTATCGGGTTCTGTCAAGTTTCTTATAAAAAATGTGCTACTTCGTGGTTTTTTTTTATGTTAGAGGGTATTTAGATTTGTATCGATTATTCTCTTAAGTTCAGTGACTATCATCGTAACTTGAAATGAGTTAGAGTATGTCACCGAAGAACAAGGGTGACAAACCCTTAAGGGATGTGAAAAGGAATTGAACTTGACACCTCTAAGTTACCATGAAACAGTTCTTGAAAACTTTGGGGCTGTTTTGGTAATATTTTTGTTTTCGCACTTTCAAAAAAATAAAAAAAATAGAAACAAGAATTTTGTTTTGTTTTGTGGTAAACGCTGAAAACAACAAATATGTTTGAGAGTCATTTGTGTTTATCAAATTATGATAATAAAAATAACTTCAACTTTTATCCTAAATATTAGCTTTATAATATCTCATACAACAAAAAACAAATCAAAAAATTCTTTATCCCAACACATCCACTAATACATCAAATAACACCTCAAACAAGATAATTGGATTACATAAGTCATTAACTATAGTCATATATCATATTGTTTATCATACCCTTAAGAAAAAATAGTTCAATACATGAGATTTCAAATATTCAAGTAGGGTTAATTGTGTGCAATCTTACAATCATGCAGATAGATTATTTCCGTGAGTCACACCCGTAATACCTAAATTACAATAGAACAACTTTACAACAATACTAAATATTTATCATATCTTACCTTAGTTTTTTTTTTTGGTCCTTGGGGGTGCCTTTGGCTGTGCCAAATATTTGTATTGGTGTCTTAAATTAGTTTTTAGGGCAAGTAGATGCACCATTGGTTTCTTTGAGTTGTTTAAAACAGAGGCATTGATATTATCCCAAAGTTTAATTACTCATATATATATATATGAGTGTTAGCCTCATTTTTTAAGATCAAAACTATCAACCGTACTGGAAAGTACCCAATGCTGCTTCATGTATTGTACCATATAAGATCTGAGACTCTACCTCACAAGCGAACCATGGATAGAGTAGTACAAATACATTTACAAATACCAAACCACCTTCTCCAATGTCAACTATTTGAGAAATTTCACAAGCCTTAAATCATAAAAACCGTAGTTTCTTGATTCTGTCATATTTTTTGAAATACCTTAGCTTCCTAATTGATGTCAGATTTCTCGAAAAGATTAACTATCCGCTACATATATTATCAATCTTCCTAATTTTATGTCTGAAAACACTCTATAATATCAAAAATTAAGTATTAACTATCCAATATTTTGTATTTTAAAAAATAATTTATTTTTTAATTAGGTAATTTAAAATTAAAATAAAAAGAGAAAAAAATAAGAGGGGTAGGGTGGAGAAAAAAGAGAGGTCGTTATGAATTAATACGATTGTCTATCATTGGGGAGTGTGTTGGTTGAATTGTCTGACGGATAAGGTCCTACAGAGAAAATTATATATTTGAGCAAAAATTTGTTTTTAATTAGAATGACTCTTATATAATTGGATCAAAGTACATAAAAATCACATCAATTTTGACCGTTGTTGTGTTTTTTATAAGTTAATAATTCAAATTCCTATATATATGTACGAGCTTCAAATAATTCAAATTCTTTTTCAGATATTCAAATAAATACATGAGCAATGATAACCACATCGCATTCATAGACTTTTGTACAGGAGCAGCTTAAACTACAAGCGTCTTACTGTTAGGCGAAGCAGTGGAGTGATGCACCCTTATTCTGCCTATAATAACCGCGGTCACCCACTTGAAAGGGGTTCGGACAACATAGATTCAAATTATGTTATATTATATTCGTAGCAAGATAGAGATTTTATTTTGTTATGTGAATACTTTATGATTTTCATTAATGATTGTGAAGCACTGGTTCCAAGGACGCAAGTTATTGAATTGAACCACATAATCTTGTGTCTTCTATGTTTGTGATATGACGTTACACACTAGAAAATGAAAACGGCGAAGATGATTAATGTAATGTATGATTATTTTGTATGTTATTTTTTTGTTGTCTCTAGTGCCATGTGAAGCGTAATACGAGTGAGTCTAAGGTCAGCACTTGGAGACATGCATTGTATTAGGTCCCATTACATAAGGGTGGGTTGTTGAAGTAGCTGTTATCCTAGGAAGCCATTTTCCGTGTGAAAACTGTAATGCTAGGAGCATCTTCCACATGGGTTAGGTATTTAAGTCACTTACAATACTCCTTCACCAAGTGTTGGAGGTTTCCTGCTTATTGTGTTTTAAGATGACCACTTGATGCCTTGCGGTGGGGTAGGGGAGAGAGAGAGAGAGAGAGAACCACCAAGGTCTGAAGATCCAATCCTTTGTGTTTCACTGAGTGACATGTTTCATTAATGATTACTTTTTTTTTTTTGGGTGTGGAGTAGATTAATGCAGGGTTTGAAAGTATTAATCGATATTGATACGCTAAAATATTTTTTTGTTTCGATTATATTTCACATTTTTATGTGAACTATGAGATCAACAAACTCGACCGAATCATGCAAGATGTCTCTAAATTAGACCATCGCCCAAGTCATCATAGTCAATTGATTGGCATCGTTTGCAACACTATGATATAATTTGAATCGCTTGTCATGTTTAACATTTTTTTCTCTAATACTATATAATACATATTATACTATTATGAGATGTCATGATAGATCTTGGTATTATCTAAATAGATGACCGATATTATACCCTTAACTAATGGAGAATTGCAGGAGGAAGAAGCAATGAAAAGGCTCAATAAGTGGGAGGACAAGAAGAAACACCAGATCTCATTCAATACATTCTTTTCTTGGCAAATCATTTACTATCAATGAATAAGTGACTCATTTGTATAGAATAAGTTTCACTTGAATATATAGTAGATAATTGAGTAAACTACACATATGGTCCTTAAATTATTATTTTTTATGTCAATTAAGCTCTTAAATTTTATTTTATGTCAATTGAGTCACCGAACTCTCTAATTATATTAATTAAGTCTTTCTATCTACCTTCGTTAGAAAGTGTCACTCACGTGACAATATGACACAAAAGACAGAAACACTTAATTGACAAAATTAGAGAGTTTAAGAACTCAATTGACAAAACAATAATTCAGTAGCTTAATTGACACAAGAGTTATAGTTTGGGGGTCATATGTGTAATTTATTTCAACCATTTGTGTCACGTGAGTGACACACTTTGCCACTTTCTATTAAAAATCTAACAATTGATACCAAAAAAAAAAAAGTTCAAGAGCTTAAATGACCTAAGATTTATAATTTGAGGGTCATATGAGTCAGAAGTACGGAAGAAATGATGTCTGACTCAATTGATTACCAGTTGCTCGTGTATATTTATATATATAGATAAGTACAGAGTAGTTTAAATTCCATTATGTAGATATATACAAGTATTCAAATATTTAAATATTTACTAACAGAACATTAACAAAATACAAATCTGCAATGATTCACTAGATAACTATAGCAACAACTAGATAACAGCTGTAATAGATTTATCTTGATGGGATGCTAGTTTATCGGAACTGATATGTCTAACATCCCCCTTGAAGGTGATGGGAAGATCTCGAACCATCAGCTTGTCACGAAGGAGCAAAAATTTTGCTGAAGTGAAACCCTTTGTAAAAATGTCTAAAGGTTGAGCTGCTGTCGAGATGTAATCCGCTTGTATATCTTTGTTAAATATCTTCTCCCTGATAAAATGATAGTCGACCTTGATGTGTTTGGTACGGGCATGAATACTAGATTAGAGGATAGAGCCCAAGCACCAAGATTATCCACCCATAGGCAGAGAGCATTGGTTAGTGGTATGTGTTGTTCTTGAAAGAGCATGCGAAGCCAATAGAGTTCAGCCACAGTGAATGTCATAGACCTGTATTCTGCTTCTGTGCTTGATCTTGCTACAACGGGGTGCTTCTTGGCTGACCAAGAAATAAGGCAGGGACCAAGATATATACAATAGGCAAATGTGGACTTCCTGTCATCAAAAGACCCTGCCCAATCAGAATCAGAAAAACAATGAAGTTGCAAGGAGCCCTTGCTGAAGTTGAGACCAAACTGTAAGTTGCCCTTTAGATACCGCAACATTCTCTTAACGGCTACTAGATGGTCAGTGGTTGGGCAATGTAAGAATTGACATAGCTGGTTCTCACTGAAGGATATGTCAGGTCTGGTAAGTATGAGATACTACAAAGTTCCAACCAAAGTTCTATATTTAGTAGGATCATTGAGGGGATCCCCTGACAATTTAGAAAGTTTTGAACCTGAGGTGCAAGGTGTGGAAGCTTGTTTATCACCAGCCATCCTTGTGCGATTCAATAAATCAGTAGCATACTTTCCTTGACTGAGATGGAAACCTTCTAATGTTTTGGAGACCTGAATTCCTAGAAAATAAGAGAGGGAACCAAGGTCTTTGACAGCAAACTCAACACTAAGTTGAGTAATAAGATGATCAATGGAAGAAGAGGAATTACTTGCAACTATTATGTGATCAACATAAATGAGCAATTAAACAGAAATGTGATCCAAATGGAATGTAAAAAGAGATGTATCAACTGTGGAGCCATTGAACCTGAAAGCAAGTAAGGCTTGTGACAAGCTCAAAAACCAAGTTTTAGGAGCTTGTTTGAGTCCATAGATGGACTTATGTAATCTGCACACATTATCAGAGAGATTAGGATCCTCAAACCCTTTAGGTTGCTCCATGTAAACCTCTTCTTCAAGAAAACCATGTAAAAAGGCATTAGAGATGTCAAGTTGCTTGATAAACCAGTCATGATGAACAGCTAATGCTAGTACCAATCTAATTGTGGCTGGTTTAATAACAGTGCTAAATGTCTTAGTAAATTCCACCCCATCAATTTGATCAAATCTTTTTGCCACTAATTTGGCCTTGTAACGATCTATACTCCCATCTAATTTTTGTTTGAGTTTAAACACCCACTTATTCCTGACAACTTTCTTATGGCAAGGTCGTGGACATAAAGTCCAAGTTTTGTTGGCTATGAGGGCATTGTATTCAACTTGCATAGTATCAAGCCAATGCTGGTTCTTCACTTCTTCCTTATAGGTTTGGGGTCCAAAAGGTCAAGTGATGGTAGAGAGGGGTTGGAGAGGATATTTGGTGGAGTAGTACAGATGGTAGTCTGGAAATTGTTATGGTTTGGAGGAATTAGTCATGGATCGTGTAATGATTTGAGTAGAGGAGGAGGCAGACAGATTTATGGTGGTGAAAGGAATGGAATTAGGTGAAGGAAGTTGGAGACTAAGTCAGGAGGAAACAGGTGGGGTTTCAGAGGTAGATCATTATGAAGAGCAGGTGGAGAAGGACCAGGTTGTATTTCTGAGATGGGAGCATTATGTAAAGCAAGTGGGCTTGTGTTATTAGAACAGCTAGGCTCAGGTGAGACAGATGAGGGTGATGTATCAATGGAAGAGGTTGTGACAGTGAATGTAGGAGGTATAATAATAGGAAAAGAAGAAACTGAATTAGAAGGCAAGGGATCAGAGGGAGAACCTGATTGTGAGGCTTTGATAGAGAAAGAAAAAACATCCTACAAGGGTGAGAAAGCAGCAGTTGGAGCCCTTGAATTAGAAGCAGGAAAATTCACTTCATCAAAGATGACATGTCTGGAGATATAGACTTTATGAGAAACCCGAGAAAAACACACTTGGTGCTTCTAAATGCTAATTTGCGGGGTTTACAAGGTCTAAGCAAAGGGTAACATGCACAACCAAAAGTCTTTAGGAATGAGTAATCTGGTGGTCTGTTAAATAAGGTGAAGAATGGTGACTGATTATTAAGGACAGGTGTAGGAAGCCTATTGATGACATATATGACAGTGAGAAAAGGATCAACCCATTAACATGATGGAAGATGGGACTGAGCTAAGAGCGATAAACCTGTGTCAGTAATATGCCCATGTTTTCTCTCTGAATTTCCATTTTTCTCAAAAGTATGAGGACAAGTGAGCTTATGTAAAATTTCATTGGTAGAGAGGAAATTTTTGAAATCAGTGGAGAGGTATTCTCCACCATTGTCAGTCATTATTTGTTTGATTTTTCTAGAGAATTGAGTTTTAACCAGTTGTTTAAACTTAAGAAAACAAGAGAATACTTCAGATTTGAATTGCAAAGGAAACAACCAGGTAAATCTAAAAAAATCATCAATGAATATAACATAGAGTTTACATCCACTGACAGAAGCAACTAGAGAGATCAAAACATCTAAGTGTATTAACTCAAGAGGATGTGTGGATCTGTTATTGGACTCGGGAAAGGGAAGTTTGTGACTCTTAGCAAACTGACAGGACTCACATAGATTATTCTGTTTTACAAGACCAAAAATAGGAAGCCAAGCTTCACGAATGACCCTAGTAACTGTGGGCTCAGAGGTATGAGCTAATCTGGAATGTCAAATATTGATTGGAGCTTTGACACCTTGTAAAGCAGTGAAAGAGTAAATGTGAGCAACTTTAAGATTAGATTTCTTGAGTTTTCGTTGCTTGAGATACATGGGATACATTCCAGCTTCACACTGCCCTTGAAGAAGTATTTCCTTGGTTTGTAGGTCCTTTACAAAGAAATAAGATGATGTGAGCATGAAGTAACAGTTATTGTCATTGCAAAATTTTTCGATGGATAAAAGATTAGAAGATGCATTGGTGCAATGTAAGATATGTGTAAAAGAAACTTGTTTTTGGAGTTAAGAAGGATAGAAGAACCAAAGTTGGTGATGAGCAGGCTTCCTCCATTGCTCACTGTGACCTGATCATTGCCCTATTAAGGCTGTTGTTACAGGGTCAAGTTGTCCAATTCAGAAGTAATGTGGTTGTTAGCATCACTGTCAAGATACCAAGGCTGTTCAACTTCTTGTGTGGCATGAGTGTGGGCTGCCATGGTTGCCAACTAAGCTGGAGGATGTCGACCCTGGTAAGAAATGTCCATCCTGTGATAGCAATCAAGGGCCTGGTGGGAATTTGTGTTGGTTTTTTGTGGAGTCTAGTTTGTATATGTGATCCGGATGATGACCCGTGTTGTATGATTTTTTAATGGAAAATTTTTTAAGGCTTAGTTCATGGAACAAAGGCTTGGGCCAATAGGCCCAAGCCGTAGCGCTCATGCATAAGCCTCGTGGGGGTTTGGGGGTAACGCCCCCGAGGAAAATTTTTGGGTCCGTTATATAGCCCAGTGCGTAGGAAATATAAAATCCGTTGTTTTGGTGATTAGGGTTAATATGGTGGCACTCTCTGTATTCAACTCTCTCAATAGTGAAATCCCTGCAACTTCGTGGACGTAGGTAAATTGCCGAATCACGTAAAATCTGTGTCTTGTTCTTTCTTGTTTCTTATTGCTTTATATTCTTGATTTGTTCTTCGATTGTGTGTGTTTGTTAATGGATTTAAATTGTTGTTAAATTCCCAACAATTTGGTGGAGTTGAAGGGGCTGCTGGATGATTATGGCTTAAGGGAGAAGTTGCGAGTGTTTGGATTGGCAAGAGATTGATTATAGTGGGGAGGCTTGCCTTGCTGGGTGGTATATTTGGTTTTCTTGCCATGGTTAAACTTTGGTTTGTTTGAGAAGAAATCAAACTGAGTTCCATCATTGGGAAGGGTCTTGTTTTGAGATTCAAGTAATTGCTCATAATTGAGCAATTCTGTTTGAAAATCATCAAATGAAATTGGTTTGTCTCGAGTGACAAAATTAAGAGATGTGATGAAAGGATTATAAATGGAATTAAGACCCCCAATGACATAGGAGATCAAGTCCTCCTCATCAACAGGTTTACCTGCTGCTGTGAGCTGGTCAGACCAATTTTTGGCAAGGATCAAGTAATCAGAGCAGGTTTTAGTGCCCTGCTGCAATGTTTGGAGCTGTCTTTTGAGGTGGGAAATGCGAGATCTAGACTGAGGAGCAAATCTGCTAGCCAATGTATTCCAGACCATTTTGGATGCTGTCAATCTATAGACTATGGAGAGGATCTTCTCACTGAGAGTGGCATTTAACCAGACCAAGAAAAATTGATCTTTCTTCTGCCAAACCAAGTAATCTGCGTTGAGATCAGAAGTAGATTTCCCAGTGGAATCAAGAAGATATTGAGAGGGACAGATTTCTGACCCATCAACAATGCTTAGTAAGTCATGGCTTCTAAGCACAGGAATGAATCCAATTCAAGATAATTGGTTCCATCTAGTTTGACAGAAACCAAAGAGGCAATGTTTGGGATAACAAAAGAGGGATTGGATGAGACCATATAGGATCGAGTTGCGTGAGCAATTAAGTTGCTCTAATACCATGTAAGAAGTACAAAAGAAATGAAGTCTGGCTCAATTGATTAACAGTTGCTCGTGTATATTCATATATATATAGATGAGTACAAAATAGTTTAAATTCCATTATCTAGATATATACAAGTATTCAAATATTTAAATATCTACAAACAGAATACAAATCTGCAGTGATTCACTGGATAACTATAACAACAACTAGATAACAGCTGTAACAAATTTATCTTGATGAGATGCTGATTTATCGAAACTGATATGTCTAACAATATGTATACTTTACTCTAGATGATTTGTTAAAAAAATAATATATTGGAAGGGATCTAACTTACTATACCTCTGACTTACTTTTCGAAAATGATATTGATATCGCTAAAATATATTTGCTGAATCAATTCAATCTTGTGAAAGTATTATAAAATGAAATTATTGTGATCGATACTAAAGTTTAAGGTCGGGTGTCACTTTTTTTTTCTTTATCATAACCTTACAAAAAAGAGTTGTAACTAATCCTTTTACATGTAATCTTTGGTACTGTATCTTCATCGACACCTCAAAATCAAACTAGCACAAAAGTCAAATCTAAGATCACATACAGCGTGTGCAGGTGCGAGAGCAGAAGTGCAAAAATACAAAATTTCAAAAGAAGTTGAGAGTGGGACCGTCAGTAAAGCGTCAAATTTATATATAAGACATTGTGATACATCAAAAAAAAAAAAAAAAGAAAGAAAGAAAGAAAAGAGGACGTTAAAGTGTATGAAAAATTTGAAAGGGGTAGTGGAGACAGCTTGCCAAGCAATGGAATCACACATCGTGGAGACAGCCTATAAATATCACAGGCTTACTAGCTCCAATTTTAAGTACATGAGCTTTATTTTGAGGCCTATTACGTGAGAGTATTGAAGTATTTTAGTTTGGGCAACGGTTCAACTTAAGAATTAATTCAAATTTCTTTGAAATTGTGGAGGGGATCTCAAAATTTATCAAATTGGAGGAGTGTAAAAGTTAATTCACGTATTTAATATTTTGAATCTGTAAATTTGGGTTGAACCCGTTCAAACTCTAAGAAGGGAATTTTATCAATGGGTCAGAGAATTATGTACAACCATAACGATTATACTACCCAATCATTAGGACGCTTAGCCATGAAAGGGTATTTTATTACTTGTGTATTTTTTTTTTATTATAGGGTGCTTAGACTTGTGCCGACTATTCTTTCGAGTTTAGCAACTGATCACCATAACTTAAACTGGATTAAAGCATATCCCAAAAGGGTGTGTGTATTCGGTCGACAGAAACTGAGCTCCTTGCCCAACAATTCATGGTTTGCAGGTTATACGAAAATGATGCAAATACTTCATAACATGATCTAAAATGATACCTTATTAAAATTCAATAAAATTGAAATGACACAATTTGAATATGACGTTAAACAACCCAATCGAGCCCATTAAAATTCGTAGTCATGGGTCAACTGACTCATTTCAGCGGCAATGGTAAGCCCATCCTAGAGCATTCGGCATATGGCTCAATCTCTAGATCCTGAATTCCTCGATCGTTGGGCCATTTTAAGCCCATCCTCCAAGGCCAATAGGCCATGCTTGATGCAACTCTAAAAATATGTTCAGACTTAGAATGAGGCGCCTTTACTTAGAAATGGGCCTGATTGCACCTTGAGGCCCCATCATGTAACCTTAAATGAGCTAGATCTCAGAGGTTTCCAATTTGCAAGACCAAAAAAATGAGTGGGCTGGACCCTTGGGTTTGGGCAGGGCCCATTTATTTCAGTTGCACACAGCCTCTTTTTTTGATAGTAATATTATTTAAACTTCAAAAATTAATTTAATTTGTTAACTTATTAATAATGTGATTTCATTTAAACAATTGAATCAACGTCAAGTTTCATTGTTTAAAAGGACCCACAATTAATCCAAACGCCACATCGAATTAAATTATGTCTGAATAACATTACTACTTTTTTAATCCCAACTTATTCCATTTTTCTCCGAGACTGATGTCACAGACACGCACACATGTTATTTGCACATTTTAAGGTTAATATAGAATATCTTAGAATAGTAATAAAGCATAATTTTATATTTTTGGTAAAAGTACTCAAATACTAAAAAAAAAAAATTGATATAAAAAAAATTACAATCGGTACAGTACACAAAGCCGGCCCTAAGACAAGGCCATTGAAGCAGCCACCTAAGGCCTGCACCATTATAATGGCTCCCGATTGTCAAATGAAGGCTCATAATATTTAACATATAAAAAACTTATTGAAGAGATATGAAATTAATTCTCAAAACAAACTTAGAAAAAGATTCATTTATTCTATTAAAGCCAAAACAACT